TCGCGTGCGGCGTAAAGATGTGACGCTATACCAACGTGGTCTAACTGCAAGTGCCATTGGACGCGCGGCATCCGAAGGCGTCATCCGTGAGTTTGTTGGGCGCAGAACTACAGACAGCTCTGGCTAGCTTACCCGGTTATCCCTCTCTATCCTGACGTTTAATGTTCCCTTAGCGTGATTCGACTGCTTTAATCACCGGGGATTGGACGGGAGGTGACTGGTAAAGGGTGGACGAGGAGATAAAGCCTGGTCCTGATTTAAAGGTCATAACAGTGAACCGACGCCGCTACAGCGGACGGGGTTCTCACATAATGCTCTCGGTAAGGTGGGGGGAGCGAACGCTGACGTGTGACGCTTATTACCATGTTATTTTGTTTAGATTGAACGTGTGTACGACAGGATTGTATATATAGGTAGTTTGGGGGGAGGGGGGTGGGTCCTCGGAATTTAGCTTGGTGATAGCGTGGACAAGATACGATATTTATGTGATTGAAAAATAACTGGGACTGCGCTTAAAGCACGAGTCGTTAATGTTCAGTCAATTTTTATTGTTTATCATGCTTGGAATGACAGGACAAAATTTACTGAAGGAGATGGTCAAATTCATTAAAGGAATTAATTTAAAGGGAGAACGAGGTGTAAAAAGTTATAGGTAAGTTTGCTCAGTATTTTCAGGCAACTCCGTCTAATATCGTAGGCATTTTCTAGATTCGAACCTAAAACTTAACCGCACGATAGTTGTTTTTGTTGGATTTTAATCTTCGTATTCATCATATTCATAGACGATGAATATGTAGTCCCAAGTCAGTTCAAGCGTTGGTAAAATCGTAGCTCTGCCTTTATTAAGGGTTAGCTTTTTATAATGCTAGCAAGATACACATGAAATATGGAGAGAATATGATTTTTCGATGGCGCTTTCCGCTAAGTATATTCTCTTTATTTAGGCTACGGCAAATACGTGGAATGGATTGTATCCAGTGTATATTGATATTAGAGCGTTATATATGGTGTTTTACAATAGCAACTAATCAATGTAGGGCCCTGTTTAGCTCCTAGGGCCCTAATTTGATTGGCTAAATAATATCTAAACGTCACTGATTAACGTATGTCCTAAAAGCTGTCCTTGATTTGCGCAATGGGACCATCGATTATCATCGGCTATAGTTATTTCTTTTCTTGTATTCTATTTTTACGAATAACTTTTATTAAATGTTACATATGCAATGTCTAATCAGCAATTCCTATAAAAAAAAAAATCTGCTTTCACAACTTCTACAAACGACCTCCGTCCATCCTTCTTCATCTAGGCTCGAATATTTCGTATCATAGAATTAAATAGAAAAGACGCAATCAACGTTTACATGTTTCTATAAACATTGTCATATAGATACATATCGTACAACTTCATACGGTAGAAATAATACGCTTATCTTCGCTAGCATACAGTACGTTTAAGACTAATTTAGCATGGACCAAAGTGCACGAAGGTACATTGTGGCACGATGCCAAACTTGCCGCAGATTCAAACTTGTCAGCTCTACGTACGAAAAAGTTCCGTGTAGTTTAGCTAACTGATGCTTAATACTTAGTCACGAAGTTTCGGCGGATTTGTGTGAAGAATCACACGATAACTCTGATCGCAGACTGTTCAAGCACGCGGAAGATGCGATCAGCGGAAAGTTTGACGGTGTAGAGCGATCTAGCCTCCTTAATACATGTCACATTGCAAGCATTTCTTAAGCTAAAGTCAACACAGTGGTCGAATACCGCTCTGATCAGGCTAAGATCAAATATTTGCTTATGTATTAGGGTTCTTAAGCAAAACGTCTATGCAGAACTATAGGCACATATGTCAGAGACACGCCAAAAGGCGCATGAATTTATGGCGTGAAAAATATCTTTCTTTTTGATATTTTCCGAAAAGGTCGAGTAATCCGGCTAAACCGCGTGCTCAAATGGAAACAATGAAGCGCACGAGAAATGGCAAACGATTAAGAAAAACATCTTTTGTTATTACAGATCCTTTTATTGTCCTAAGGCTTTTAGCAATATGAGCTCTCCATATTGCATAGTTGCGCAAGTCAAAGATGTTCCAGGCATTTACAAAAAGGCCATTTCTGTGTTGACAGAAACCGCCTATCGCGTCCACGCGTCTTTGAATTTTAGGCATACGTGAAGATGCATCAATCACTTTTCGCTATCTAATAGCAATTAAGGGCGTGCTGTATACTGTATTACTATATCTCTATAAAAGGCGAACATTTTCAAGGCTACGGACAACGTCATCACCTTTTGCCTCGAAGGTGTTCGGACATCTTCAGCGCTTCCTCACTCACGCGGTCGGAAGCTGCAACACAGCTCCGCAAATCGGCTGATATATTAAACAAAGAGCAGATAAGGTAGAGTTTTGTTTTTCATCGCCCGCCTGGAGTCCAATAAGGCGTCCTACTGCTGTTCGCCTCTAAAGAAAGTGGCTGAGCACCTGGCAAGGGGTTAATGGAGCGTCGTAGCTAAAATTCTTGAATTCGAGTTATAGTACAATGCCCCTACTGAATAGTAGGGTGAATAGTAAGTGCCCCTACTGATAGGAATGAATACGGATTATTGCCAACTGTACTCGGTGAGTGCGGACACAGAAACCAGGAATATGGCACAGGCATTTGCTGCCTTTCTAGAGTTATTTTTTCAACCTAATACTCAATTACATTGCATGAATATCCTAGAGATTCCTAATCTTTTTTTAGTCTTTAATTATTATTATCGAACTCTGACGGATCCGAACGCCTCATATGGCAAATTTTAAAGCCAACTACGGCTTTACTATGCCTAGTTCAGAGTAGCATAGTATGCTTTACTATGCAAATAGTTCCTACGCAAAGTTGTTCAACAAAAAATTGCGGTTTGCAACAACCCTGCCCATGACGCCAGGTCGAATCAGGACTTAACATGAAGGATCCTATGGCATTCGATACACAGTTGAACGATTAAACATGCGCAAATGAGGCCACGTTGGTATAGAACGATTTACGGGCAACTAACTATATAGAAAAACGATGATACTCTTAAACTACTCCAAATTATACTACTTCTCCTAATGAGATTTGTTCTGATGCTATCGACTAAGACCGTACGGGCCTCAGTAACGCCAACTTTGCCCCTACACAAATGTTCGATAAGGTTGACCGATAGTTGAGCCTCACACCTCGCAGTCTATCTTCAATTACCTTTAAGGAGCTAGCCGAGGTTTTTAACTTCGAGGATGGCTTCTTTCATCATTATTACAAGGTCTTTTGAGAAAGGAATTATATTTTCATTTTTCGGGTAAGTATTGTATCTCCGATCTGGGCTGTGGGAAACTATCGTTTTGGAGCTGTTCTGGACTCTATTATTGTCATGGAAAACATTACCGTTGAGCACAAACCCATTTATGCTCTTTTAAAGTTTTGGGCCTAAATTAGCATGGGATTTCCAGAGGAGTGTTCACCTGCATTCTTGTCTAAGGTCCCTTGTATACATTATATTTTATCAAAAGCTCTAGCTTCTATTCGAAGTTGTTTCTATCAGACACAATAGATACGTGCATGCATGCAAGTATCTATTATATCTGTATGGAAATAGATAAGGCAACAGATGTGCTTGTCATCCAAGAGGCGATTAATTTCACTGCATCCTGGCCAAGAAACAATAAAACTATATCTTCTTCTGGGTAACGCCGTTTATCTCCTAGATGGCAGTCAGCTACCGTGTAATCCTACACAGAAAGGCTTTGATCCCTATCTAAATCTCAGAACTGACTCTGTTGAATGTTAGGTATCAACTTAACGTTCATAGTGCTTGCATTTTGCTATTTTTGGTTGTGTAACTTACTAGTATGGTTTCCATTTCATCATAGAATGTATGAATACATAAAATATCCCGGGCTGTCCTCCTAAATAAGTAGCAGCGAAATGCGATGTCCCTCGTGAGTCTATTGAGCTGCAAAGCGCTGCATTTTTCCATAAAGATAACAAGCCAAGGACACATCACAGGTTATTGTACATTAAAGCGTTCCTGGAACCTATTTGAAACTAGAGAAGTAATCTCCGCGGACGTGTCAGTCAAGGTTGTGGAAGTAGCCGTTTTTGCCATTGTTGGTATTTTATTATAATAAAGAGCCCGCTCTATGCAATTATACTGTGACCGGTGTGCAAACTTTTTGAATAATGAAAACTACTATTGTATAATCGTATTGTGCTGAAAAATAAATGAGATCGCCGTTTCTAAGCTCATCTAATATAAAAAGAGTACACGAATATGGAGTGAGACGACTCTCCCGTGCTTCGCGGCCAGCTGGTTCTTGCATGCTGCAGAGCTTCTGTTGTACAACGCTGCTTTATCTGTCTACTACGCACCTCGAAGGCCCGACGCACGCCACCTAAGGACATCGTACCAGCTCTGATCGCTGGTCCACATCACACCCGTGGCAAGGCATATGGCGATGTTTTTAATGCGCCGTGCGGTGACGTTCTCAAGACGGAATTATAATGGTTATTCAACGGAACCAGAATGGCTCCCTTTTGAAGTCAACGACTGTGGCTGCATTTCGAAACACCATCTCTAAGGGCACTTAGATAATATATTCGTGCTTAATTTGCATCGGTAAATTCATTATGGTAAAATGAGAATTTAACCGTTTCCATAAGCGGGTGCTCAATAGAATTCCATGCCAACTTGAACTAGCTTCAGATCGTGACATAGCTGCAAAGGGGGATTAAGTCATATTTCTTCATTTTTAGAGCTCTTTCAGTCGTTGACATATAGATCAGCGGCTATTGTCGCGTACGACGCTAACCGAGAACATCTCGACCCTGGTTTTCCCCTGACTCGACCCTGACTTCTGGTTTTCTAGCTCTGTTAGCCCTACTTAGGAGGGCCGCGTAAACGAGTCGGCTTTCAGGTAAATTTTATGCATACATATTCGACCATGTCACATACTGACGAAAGTATGATTTTCGTTTCAGAACTTATTTAGCATGCAGATCCAGTAGCTGTTGGTCTCACTGCTGCTGTGCCGTTCATGGGACCAGTTCGGAGCGACACGAAAATCGTAGCGCACAGCCCCTCTCGGTTACTGAATTGCATATGGCATTGGTAGCAGAAGCAAAAAAAAAAAAGAAGACATCGACGATTTATTGGGAGGCTTAGTGCTTTGAACACTTGGTAGAGGGTAACAAGAAGCAGCGACGGATAAGGGCCGGGAACAGAAAAACGAGTCCCACATGAGACGATAGAAGAAAGGCAAACATGTAGACAACCGAGATGGTCCTTTTGAACGCCATCCTGCGAAGGCAGGATCGCCGTCGACTGCTTCGCAGTATGGAGCAGCTTGACAAGCCCTCGACATGTAAGTAACAAAACTGCCGGAACTGTACAGTGATAAAGAGTGTAATAAACAGTAATGTTATTATCTAAAACAGTAATTCTATATATGGTACTGCAATTACGATAGCGCAATAGCTTATATGAGCCCCACATTATTGAGGCAGCAGAGAAGCTTCGGTTTTAGATTTCCAACGCCACTATCTGTTCTATACCTTACTATAATTTTGATTATTATTATTATTATCAACATAATTACCAGGTGGCTCTGAAGTAGTCAAGGGCATATGTGTAACTATCTATTCGGGCGTATGGCTGGCTCGTACGTTTTCCCTTTTTGACAATATATCACGCTTTTTTGGATAAAAGCTTTTTCTTTTTCTTTTTCTTTTTTCATTATCGTTTTAAAACGCTTAATCAGCATTAAGGTTTACTCGTACTCAAATACGCTAGGTGCACTGTTCGCTGTTATAAGAATTACTTGTTAAAATTATTTAGAAGGCTCTTTCATTGAAGAGAGAATCTGCCTTTGTAGTTTCAGGCTTTGCTAACGTGAGATACGGTGTATTGAAGTGCGTTCATGTCTACTTAGTTATCCGGATTATAATATCGATTTTGAAGCCCACAGCGTGCTGTGTCATGGGCCATATTATATTGCATGAAAGGTAGCAAATGTCCATTTATCCTATGATACAAAGAAGCTGAAGGAGGGCATCCAAGTTTCGTGACATCACACGTTTTAGTTCCTTTAGGGGGAATAAATACGGTCTCTCTCTATATTCTGCTTATTAGATGTTAGGGACCTTGTCTTTAAACATTTTCAACGCGCACAATTCAAATCTCATTTGCGTGTGGGTTTTTTTTTCCATATTTAATAACCAGGCAGCTCATGTGAGTCGCTGTTCGTGTCGCTTTCGCTGCCTATTTTGAGCGCCATGTCTGGCATATTTGCGAGACATCTCTCAGCCGGCTGTCAGGCCAACAGCAAAAAAAATCTCTGCCTGTGCTCCCACTATCGTACAGATACTTCAAACGCGTCCGTCGGATTTACGGATAGACATACTGATGTTATAAACCGTCGCCAAGAAACTGACACAAAGCTAAGATATTAGCTAGTAAAGCGTCGATCAACAAAGTGCCGAACTCTGAAGTGAATGCAAAAAAGGTATTTTCTTTTGCGTTTTAAGGAATTCAAAATCACGGGCTGAATTGTCCATCAGACATTTGCATTACCCCCCATCCGACATCAAATTTCGTGGATGCACGGTGATAGGACTTCGTTACTATCAACGATGTCTTATAGAAACGGCTATTCAGCTGCGAAGGGTTCGTCAGTTTGGTGATACGGCTTATATGAGGGCTATATGACGTATAGTGGGGTCTGACAAGCCTTGCATTGAAGAAACGAATGCATACTAGGAGAGTAACGTTGGAGGGGCACGCTGAGTCCAATGTAGTAACCTAGCAACTTAACGGATGCCCAGGGCCAAACCGAACCTGGTAGATTCCAAATCCCAGCTGAGCAACCCTCTGCCAAATTAACGTTAAATGTTAAGAGACTATGAGTAGCACTATTTCGTCTATAGAGAATAAAGCCAACGATGAATAGGGAACGGCTGAAACGTTTCAATTCTTCTAGCTTGTGGCAAAGCGCTCGTGTTTTCAGCGTGGTACTGCCAATAATCTCCAGTAACAGTAGTGAGCATCCAGCCGACAGGGGACACGAATTCGCAAGCTAATGGGATATACACACGTCAATATTTACGGCACAGGTACTACCATCACGTGCCGCAGGTCGCATGCTGTGAGCGTCAGTCACAGGGCGTCTATCGAACTTAATCCACAGCTCATACGTAACAGGCAGTGTAAAATGGGCCAGATAATACTCATCGCGGATGGCTAGTGGAAAGTGGAAAAGTTTGTGTATTGTCCCATCGCCATTTTGTAAGTGACGGTCTAAGAGGCCGGAAACGACGACGGGTTAAAGTTCATCCAATTTAATCGGATATTAAGATGAAGAAGTTACAACAGGATGGGTATATACATGTACATGCATGTACACACATGTTGTTCCGTTTTTCTCCCGCGACGTACAGAAATAAAGTCCAATCCAGTGTACTATTAAGATTATAGGCCATATTGTAACAGTAGATGGCATGGAATGGACTAAAATATACGAAAGGAATAACACCTCACAAATAGACGATTTGATTTAAAAAAAAAACGCGCATTACCACAAAGTTCTATGTTGATAAAAAAAAGAGTTGATAAAAAAAATATTCATCTTATAATCGTTTACTATAATGAATCGCTTAACTTTCATATTTGCTTATATTCACTCTTGATTTTATACTACTATTAATATAAGGGCTATCACATGCTAAAAATACAAAAATTACTTGATAACTTACCCCAACAATTTGAGCCCCTTGTCGCTGCCTACACAATGTGCATAAAACGGCTATATACAATAGTGTAGAAGAACTTTGCCGCGATAATGAATATATTTCGCAAGATTAATCTTCGTATACAGTTGAGTTTGCTCGGAACGGTTTGTCCTATTCTGTCTACTAAATAGAAGACCACCAAAATTGCTGCGTATGCTCTTTTGTCTGCCAGGAGGTACTCTGGCGTTCTCCTTTTTGTCGTCGTTTCGTTTTCTTCTGCCTCATCGCCGCTCATGCACCGATGTTTTGTTTCCCTTCCATGCGCAGAGTGTCCGTAGCCCACAAGATACGGCACGTTGTATGTTTACGGAGGCACCGAGCCAAGAAGTACCTGCTCGCACGTGGTTCATCGCCTAATTCGAGGGGCTAGGAATGGGCAAGTGAGAGTTATGTAGACAGTTTTCACCTTATACGGTAGGTAAAAAGTAGTGTAGGCACAGCCCACTGCGCCTGTACGTCCATATCGTCCTTCTTTCTCTCTCTGTAATCGTCTGTGGGTTTAGCAGTGGCGGATACTAGCAGGAAGACCCTGGTCCGCCAACCAAAAGCGAGCAGCCGTCGCTGCTTGATAGCTCGGCAGGATATGTTGATCGATGACCCGCACCGCATTTCTAATGGCCGACGTTGGGGTAGTCCTTTGCACACAGGATTTAGGGGGCGGGGAGGGGGAGGGGGAGGAAAAGCTAGGGTGGATGACAGAGCGAGTAGCTGCGTGAGCGACAAACTACGGGTCGCCCAACATCGACGTAAAGAGCGAGGAAGGAAAAAAGAGAGGGAAGGGGGTAAAAAAGGAAAAAAAGGCCGGAAAGTTGTTTCCCGGTCGTCCTGTTACACATCGTTTACAGCCTGTGTGCAAGAGTGCCTCTTGTATCTTCGTGCCGGTACGTTGCCCAGGCAGGCAAAAACCATAGCAGCAATTTAGCCCTTTGGGGCACCGATACGATTCGGAAGATTCTTAACAGAGCGTCGTCCACATGCCCCTGTTAACGTAAGCGCTGAGCTTTTAGTGATCGAAGAGTGGGGCGTGCTACGCAGTATGCTCACACGGAGCTCTTATAGATCTGTTTTTGTTTTCAATTAGGTTATATCGCGACGATGCTGCTGATGTTTTAAAATATGAGGAGACTTATGTTAAGTGAAATTTATATTTATCATCAATAGTGTAAACACACCAGTGCTATTTAATAATTATCTTACGCAATACTGAGATATTCAAGAGCTGGTGACCATGGATTTGTTAGAATCTTGTCCAAGATTTCGGGCCATTGAGCAATTAACAGAATCTGCACTAAATCCATCTATACTAGATGTGATATCTATCCCTTAAAGAAAGAACACGCCTTCAAGCCCTCTTTCGCATTATGAACAGCTTTGACATTAAAAAAAAACAATGTTACGGCAATCTGAGTTATGGATCTGCTTAGTATCCCATCACAGAATGGCTTTTGTCGTCTCTGCAATTACACCATCTGGTCAGTTTTTTCCAACAAAGATATTTTATATTAAGTATGACTTTGATCAAGGAGGCCTGTTGTACCATTTCCGTTATGTAATTTGGTACAATCGAGAAAGCAGTCATTTTGCAGTATAGGTCTAACGCTGATGCTGGCTGTTTCATAGATGTACCATAGTTATTATATTTGTGTTATTATTATTATTACTGTTGTTATTTCGAAATTGTCCAGTGCTCGGCGGATAGTAATTAAATGTTGTGTTTCGTGCGCACTATTGCTCTCTCTATACCTGGCTGAGTTATTAGATAGCGCCCGATCTTACACCCTTTGGGCGTCCATACTATCTGGACGACGTAGGCGTGACGGGGCCAGGCACTTGTTCCCGTCATGTAACTGCAACGATGGTTTGAGAAAAGTCTCTTTGTCGCACTTAAGAAACACATATAAGCCTTTAATTATATGCGCACGGAGTAGATCAAAACAAATGTAATTAAACGCTTTTAGTTTTTGACACGACCGTCTGCTCGTTTGGTCCGTTACAAATCCCGCGAATCTTATTGAATGGGCAACATCTGTAAGCAGGCCTAGGGAAGTAGAGCGGGGAGATGAAAATACCTGCTTTCGAACAGAAAAACAAGTTTCAGGGGGATAAGTAAATCCATAGTGCCTAACATACCTTTCCATTCTGCCCTGACACAATATAGGCACCTAGTGATTTGTGGGAAGAAGTAGACAATGTTGAAAGGAAAATGTTTACCTTCTAAGAAGGAACCGTGGTCTCAATTGAAAAAATCATACTACATTGTCGTTAAGTGTCGAAGATGATTAATTAAGAGATCCTAATTCAGTTCCGCCGGGCAGTACAAATATACGAGTATTAACTGGTTACATACTTGTATATCTGAGATTGGTACTTTGTTGGAAAAATGTAAGAAACCTTAATAGCATACATGCAATTTTGCAAAGTCAATCTGACTGCTTTAGAGCTCGTGTGTCTATAGTGGTTACTTACGATTCTAATATAATTGCCTGTGATTACTTAATTAATTACGTCAGAGTCACGATCTTCATTATCTGGATTTTTATTATTTATCGACTACATGGTTTCCTCCATAGCAATTGCT